TCGTTGAGCCGTCATTATAGAGAGATATTCCTATTTTATACAAATACTGACCGACAAAATCAATGCATTTGTCGGTCCATTGAATTCTCAATAAAATTTGTGTGTCTATTCTCTCCATTTCCACAAATCTGATGTTTTCAAAAATATTTTTGAAATGCAAAACAAATTAAATTGAGAAATAAGCAAATATCTACCGGTACTCAATATCTTAAACGATCATTTATTATACTTATGCCAAAGTATTATCGATTTTGAGTCTAATGTTTTATTATAGCAATTATTCAAAAATAAATGGTATTTCAGTAAAACTAATATTTTAAATAAATTATAATATAATGACATAAATAACATTGATAAGGTAGCCCTTAAAGTATATTTATTATACATTATGTAAATATGCAATTTTAATACACTATTATATTAATGATATATAAAGATATACCATATAATTAGTTCCCATATAAAATAAATTGCACCAATTTTACTGTAAATGCTGTTATCAATGAAATAAGCTAGAAATAACAATTATGTATTATATATTATTCACACACAAAAAGAAAAATACCTGATAAAAAACTTGTTGATTAATTAAAAATAGTTTCCAACAATAATACCCGACACGTTTCGATGAACATGTTTCAAGTAATACCATTATCTAAATAAATATTTGAATAAATTAATTAGTTATATAATTTAACATTTACTTTACGTATTCATTTAATATGAAATATTAACACTATTTGACAGAATAAGTTAGACAACAGAGGTTTTTATTCTTTAGTACATATATAGTATATAAGTTATCTATAAGGGCCTTATATATTATATACCTTAATTCTATGTAAAGAATTTGAATTTTTAAATTTTTTACAATGAAAGTTATTTATTAAATCAAACGTCTTATTGGATTCTTTATGTAAGAGAATTGCAGAGATATTAATAAAAATGCAATACATAACCAGTAGTGGGATAATAAACACCATAAATATAAGCATAAATATTTGAACTTCACCAAAAAACACCTGGGTGATAAAGGGTGCCGACACACATAATAAACATAACCACTGTATGGCTAACCATATTGACCAAAATCTATTACTTTCATTGATATCAGAGTAAATATGAAATGTTTTTGAAATACATTTTAATAGTTTTAAATACATTTTACTATTACTAATGTTTAAGCAATTAATTTGTTGGAGAATATAATTATTAAATTGAAGCAATAGTTTAAATCTATAGGCAGTTAAACAAAAATAGCAAATATGCCAAATAAAACAGGGAATCCCATACAGTGCCACTAAACAAAACAAAATGCTCCAGGGTATACCATACATTATTGAATCGAGTAAAGAATAGCTCACAGATAAGGTTAGAAATGATAATAAAAAGCAGCATGGTGGTACAATTCGCTCAAATAAAGTAATTAATAGTCTAAAAAATAATTTTGTTTTATTACTTATTAAGTGATGACCTAGTGCTTTATTAAATTCAATAGGATGTTCATTGTTTAAGTAAAATGCCAAATGTAAAGCCTGTACTGCACTGGTAGTTATGATCGCTATAATAGTCATTGAATTCCATACGAACTTCAATTTCCAATTGTGTGACACATCGCCTAATATTAGACTTAATTGTCTGTCATTTGATTTTTCTCTATGGTTAAGAGCACTATATTTGTGGCGTATTTATTAATGTTATTCTTAACCTAATATTTATTCACATGCAAATACACTCGGTAATCATACGTCACTATTAGGTTAAGACACGTTTACGAGACCAATAAATTCAATGCAACTTTCGGTCCATTTTATACGATTTAGTATTTTATTCATATTTGAACTATAAGTGTACGTTTATGTGAGCCATTAGTATGCAGTGATAATCCAATTCTGTGCAAATGCTGACCAATAAATTCAATGCAACTTTCGGTCCATTTTATACGATTTAGTATTTTATTCATATTTGAACGGATTTTAAATTTCAATTTTCCTTTATGAAAGTTACTTAAAATATTATATTAACCGATATATAAATAAGATTAAATCTAAAGACACACGAACTCATTTGAGTGCAATACTGTTTTATTTTTATTTTTCAAACATTTGTATTTTGATTGTAATTAACTTTAGTTCATAATGCATTCTTCAATTAATATTAAAGCTAATTTGCATTAAAATTCATTATGAACTATTATTATAATTATTATTCAATTATTATTACAATAATTATTACATTGGAAATTATTACAGTGGAAATTTTTACAATAATTATAACAATAATATATTGTATTACAAAGTAATTAAATGAATTATTTTCAAATGTGCTGAAGAAACTGATATTTTTTATTGTCTATGAACTATCATAATATTATGGTCTATCATGGACTCTGTCATATGAACAAATAAAGTACATATGTATGCTTATTATTGTTTCCATAATTAATATTTCAAAATCATCATATAATATTTGAACATTAATTTCTAAATTTAAAACAACCTTATTTGAATTACGTTTATATCCTTTGATATCGTTTGAAAATTTTAAATATAATATTTTATAATACTAAATTAGGATTCATAATATAAAAATTAATATAAACATTTTAAAAGCATTTCTAAACATTTAAAACTAAATAACTTCAATAATACAGCTTAATTAGCATAACTAACAGTAATTATTATTTTATTAAATCACTTCCGTAAAGTGTTATTTGAATCAATTTTAAAGTAAATGCCGTTAATATCACCATTAGCTATAATAAAATAATTTCAATTAAAAACAAGTTCAATGTATAAATTGTTCAAAATCAAGATAATAATGCGATAATAAAATATTGACCTCATAAAAGACTTTCTCATTGATTATAAATAGATTCAAACAGTAATATCCCACACGTTTTGATGAACTTATTTCCAATAATGTCATCAACTTTAGGAATAAATAATCAAAATAGAGATTATAAATTGTAGCCTATTTAAAAATTATAATTACCGGTAACTAAATAATTAAATAATTATAATTTATAGGTTTATCCGATACTTACCTTGACATTCAAATACGAAAAAACTGAATATTTATTGCATTTCAGATAAAATGTATTCAATGAGGGAAACGTTTTATTAGATTCCTTATGAACAAGAATCGCGAATATATTAATGAATATGCAATACATAATCAAAAGTATGAATATGAATGAAGTCAATAAAAGCATAACTCCATGAATTTCTCCAAAAAATAAATTTGTGGCGAAAGGTGCGGTCGCACCTAAAATTAATAACCATTGCAATGCCAATCATTTTGACCAAAATTTATTACTCAACTGAATTTCGGAGTTAATTTGGAAAATTTTTCTTTTAATTTTCTTAAACTTTTGTTTTAACATTTGTTTGTTAGAAACCGTTGGATTGAGCATGGTTAGTTTATGATTTTCCAGTTCTATCATTAACCTAAATTTATATGAAGTTAAACAAAAGTAGCAAATATGCAAAATGAAACTTTGTGGACCATAGGTGCAAGTAATTGCAAATAAAATGCTCCAGGGAACTCCATAAAATAATATTTCATACAATGTATAGCTTAGTGATAGGGTTAATAGTGATAAAGTAAAGCAGCAAGCTGGGAATATTTTCACTGTTATTATATCCAATGTCGCAAACAATAATTCAGACTTTTTTCCCAAATTCTTATTTTTCATTTCAATTCTTGGTTTTAATGGAAACTCATTATTCAAATAATACACCAAATGTAAGTCCTGAACGGAAACTGTAGTAACCATGGCCATACTAGTTACTAAATTCCATATGAACTTCAATTTCCAATTGTGTGACACATCGCCTAATATTAGACTCAATTGTCTGTCATTTAATACAAGAGATACCAATTCACGGGATATAAAAATCATGCAAATAATTGTAATAAGAATTGGATTATAAATGAATTTACGTTTACTTGAGCCATTATTATACAGAGATACACCAAATTTATATACATGCTGACCCATAAAACTAATACATTTATCAGTCCATTCAATTCTGTTACATATATTTTTCATATTTGAATCCATGGTGATTGTGGTAGATTTGAAAGATAATTTAAGCTAAAAATTTTTAAGTTTATTTAAACTCAATTTAAACTACAGTAATATGAATATATGGTAAATACGAAATTAAAATAGTTTAATAATATTATGCAATATGAAAAATCAATATTTTAAATAATAAATCAAATTAATTGCTATTAGATAGAAGTATGTAAGACTTCAAATGCTATTATTGTTTATTGTTTTTAAAAAGACATTTATAGAAATTTAAATGATTATACATTTATGAAATTTATTGATTAATATTTTGCTAAAAATTTAAAAAATCATTTTATAATGTTAATATGTTTACCAATTAAAGTATTATCTAAAGCAATTTAACCAATAACTAAACTAATAATCTCCATAATAATTTTCATTCATTAAAATTCTTTATCTTATATGTAAATAACAATTTACAAAAATAGCTGTATATTAATATTTATTGATTATTCAAAATGTTTTAATTTGTGTTTAAGCATAATTCTGCCATTATTTATCTAGCTCATATTAATCTTAGAATTTTATACATTAGGTTTATAAACTGTATTAATACCTGATATCCAATAAAAGTTTGTAACTATAAAAAATACTTTGAATTATTATACTGTACTGAACTCATAAAGATTATTAACTAATAATTATTATTAATACTATCAGTCTATCACTAGTCTATCACTACAACTAACACTCTAATTAATATATTTAATAATTATTAAATTACAATATATGGTTACAATAATATTAGTGAAATATTAATTTATTTTAACAAGCCAATAGTAGAATATTCAATTATTAATGCAAAATTACAGAATATTTTTATTATCACAAACATTATAATAAATAAATTACATTTTTAGTTTTTCAATAAAATAAACTTATTTCAAAAATAGTTTACTTTAAATATAAGTTAAACTGATTAGCGTTTAAACACCCCTTTAACGGATGCCTTAGCAATAAAATTCTTATAAATTCTGGGCTCCAATGAGTCGAAAGTAGGTGTTTGTATGACTGCAGTGATATGAGCAAGAGCAAACTTGAAACACAAATCCTCCAGTTCGGGCACCTTATAGCGAATGGCAGCCGCATATATGAGGGACACGTTTTCAATAGTAATGCCTTTCCGTATAAGTCGGACGCACTTTATCTTAAGGTCAGTCTCGCAGTAAGATTCGGCCAAATCTAATAACTCGATCCCAGTCTCCGGTTCCACACATACCTCACCCGTGTATATGTAGCGCAGGAATGCCTCGTAAACCACATACGAGTATTGGTTCAACTGTTAAATGATAGCAATGTATTGATTTTAAATGTATCTAGGTGATATTAAATCTAACCTCCATTTCAGGTTTGGCCCCTTTGTCCCACTTCTCGTCAAACATAGCGCGGAAGTGTTCGCATCTCATCACAAGAAAGTCTATGTGAACGTGAATAGGTTTTCCCTCCACTATGAACTTAAATGTGCTTGTTAACTTATGGTTAAAGATTTTGGATGTACTCTGGAGAACGGGACTATCAGGATATTCACTCATTATAATGGGATATGGGGTCACAAACTGTAATGAAAACATTGCAAATATGTCATGTATTGACTGCACATTAACCTCTATTAGTGAAATAGGAACATAATATATGATTAATATATAATATACAATTGCATAAATTCATATAAATTGTGCTTGCCAATTGGTGTTACAATATTGCCAAATGGATTCCTACAGTAACCCCACACATAATGCTTTCCATTTACAGTAACAGCAGTCGATATATACGTGCTATGAATGGACGCAATGTCTATAAATCGTCCCAATTTAGCGTCCAGTTTATAAGGTATAGTTTGTAAGGTATTATTGCCGGTTCCCAGTTCTCCATTGCTATTGCGTCCAAATGTATATAACTGTCCGTCATCTGTAAGCACAAGAGTATGTCCAAAACCACAAACCACCTTGCTCACTGTCATGTCATTAAAGAATGACATTTGAATGGGAAGGGGTTGGTTTGCCTGTAAATTCGCGAGACCTAACTGTCCCGTAGAGTTGTTGCCCCTATTTTACAACATATTTTATATATAATTTCATTAAATACAAAAGCATACCAGTTAAATAGTTGTCCTGTCTCCGTTATGGCAACTGAGAAATTATTGCCGCATGCGATTCCAGTCACGTGTTGATTAGCAAGGACACCACTCACTCTATACGGCACCGACTGGTTATTAACTGTCCCATTTCCAACTTCCCCCGATTCGTTATAACCCCACGAGTAGACATGTCCACCGCCTGTGAGGGCCAGGGTATGGTTGGCACCACACACTATGTCCACAACCTTTTGCCCTGATAAATTTAAGTTTAATAGCACTGGTGTGGCCAATGTTGTATTGTTACCGGTGCCCAACTATTTATTATATTTATAATTAAAATATCGAAATCAGAGTAGATGGCATTAATAAATGAACCTGATAACATGCGTTACCACCCCATACATAAACCTCGCCGCTATATGTGAGCGCGCAAATATGCCCACCGGCACCGGTACTAATTTTCTTGACGCCCTTTTGGCACAGTATATCCATCTTGGTCATTTTTTGGACATTAATTCCTTTGCCGTGGAAAACTTCATCAGCTTTGGTGACCACAATGACATCGGTTCCGTGGATTACAAACGAGTGGATATTTGCCACAAACTCTTCATCCATAAGACTAAACACAACCCATTTGTCGGTCGACCCTCTCTTCAGACGAGTGTCTAATGACAGCAAGTCTTCAACATTTCTGTCATTTGCAGACATTTTAGTGACTATTTTGATAAACAAATTATAAAATAAATTATAACTAATTTTCGTTAATTGTTGAAATACATTAAAAACTTTAATTAGCTTAAATTTACAAACAAAAACAAGTGATAATTAATTACTGTAATTAACTGAATAAGAAAGTGTTTAATTTTTAAAATATAAATGTATTGTTTGTTACATACTGTATGTAACATTCAGGTATGATTCATAACTTATGGAGTATAATGTTTTAAGAGCAATATATTTATATATTTTAATAACTGCATATTATATTTCTTAAACAGTATTTAGATAAAACTTGAAATTAGAGTCCAAAGTTGAATATTTGATATAGTAAAACAGAAATCCTGTTTCATATCACATCCAGGTTACATTCATTTACATGCAATTCTTATAAATCCTTAATTCTTCTCATATTCAAATTTATTATTTATTTTTACAATTTACTATAATATATTATATTACATTTATTGGTAGAGAGATTGAAATAATTTTTATTATAATATTATATAATTTAAGTTTTTCAAAAATAATCTGTGCTTAGTTAACTTTTACGTATAAATTACTTGTACATATAAATAAATCACAAAAAATTCATTATATAAAAATATGTTGTTTAGATATCAAAACAATTATACTGATCAAAACTTGGTCACATAATCGGCATCATTATGTTGATCACACATCTTATCTCTATTAGCCTTATAAAGAGTCCTCTGTTTCTGAATCCTGTATTTATACCGAACACAATCAGCACAACATATGGTCAGCAAAATGACTGTAAGGGAGCCGAACACTGACAGCAATATAATCTTCCATTCCGTCCAAAATGGGCCGCAATTGTCGGCCGACTCTAAGTAATCCCTACAATAACTACTAATAAACAAATTGGCGACACCTGTCCCGACATCCAGATCATACGGAAAACTTCGCACATATTTAGCATCCAGGCCTTTGGTATCACAGTAATCGGGAGCAGACATTACGGTGGATATAAGACATGACTTCCACTGCCATAGGGCGCAGCACTCGGTCTTTTTGGTGGACAGACTGTTGTAGAGATACCGGCCCTCTGTGTCCATTTGCATGACCCGGGAGTCAAATGTTTTTGTACACAAATTGAGTTCAGCGGATATATTCTGTAGACATGTTTGCGACAAATGTTTGCCAACCTCTCGGAAATCGTACGGCAATTCTGGACCAGAATTCTCGGTCAAAATCCAATGAAATTGTGCCAAAACTAGAAATAATTGCTTTACAATCATAATAAATATGTGGTTTTGTCAAAATGTCAACACATTTAGTTTGTCTCTAATAATACCCATATAATTATTACACATTTCTATTGTAAGCAAATTACTCGTAAGGAGTTTATGTTTTTTATAATCAAAATTTATCGATAAATTCCATAGAAATAGGAAATGATTGATAAAAATAGCATTAATTTATACTTCGCTAATATAATATTTTTTCAATGCTATTCATAGACTTTATAAAAAATATATAATAACAGACAAAACACAAATCAATATATTTCATACAATTTAGTAAATACCTGTTTGTGAGAGTATATGTGATTCACTTTAGTTACCTATTGTTTATACATATTACTGAAAATACAATGCATTTACACCGCAAATGACATATTTATTTCATCATTTCAAGGATAGCATACAATTCAATCAATTTTAATAAAACAGTTTATTTATCTGTTTTTACGTCTACTGTTTTTATATTTTAATATAACTATACATTTATTATGTGATTAATAAAATAATTGTGTGATTTAATTTACAAGTTAGTTATTATGAAACTAAAAATATTAAATAATTACGGTAGTATAATAGCATGCAAATTGATTTTTATTATTAACATAAATTCTAAGATTCTAATAATATACTTACTGTAGAATTAAATAAATTATTTGATATTTAATTTAGCATTCAAAAATTCATGGAAAAATGTAATTTCATTTGATTTAAGTTTATTCATTGTTGGCTCAAAATCCTTGCAAAGAATGACAACCTGTTTATGAATAGACCACTCGTTATATTCAGTCAACACTTCTCTACATTCGGGTCTTAGACTCCAATTAGGGGTTGACATCATCGACGCCAACACATCCTGTACTGCCAGTGCCCTCACATTTAAATCAGTATTGATTTCGGAATAAATGGACCTGCTATATTGGAAATGTATAATAAATCTTAAAAATCGGAAAAACTAAATTATTTATATTATTAGTTACTTTTGCCAGTCCAAAGCGAATAAATTGAAATCAAACACTTCAGCACCAACGAGTGCTAGACTATAGATATCACATTTATGGCCATAAATAGAACCTTGACCAATCTCGGGTGCTTGATACTTTACAGTACCCACGCCAGTTGTGTGTTTCTCCAATGTAAAATAATTAATAGCCTTATCGTGAACAGTAGCTAAACCAAAATCACCTAATTTAATAAATCTACCAGTTACTATATTAGGTTTAATTAATATATTATCGGGTTTGAGGTCTCTGTGAATGATCTGTGGTTTTAAATCATGCAAATACTGAACACATTCTAACAGCTCTTTAAATAATTCACACGATATGTAAAACTCTATTATATTCATGACTTCATCCGATTGTCTCTCAAATAGTTGTGGTTTTATTGAAAGCAAATTCTTGAGATTTTGTGGACAATACTCCATTTGAATGTAAAGTAATTTATGTTCAGCCCACGAATCAAAATAGTGGACAACATATTCTGAACGTACTTTTATCAAACTTTCCAATTCTTTCAATGTTTTGGCACCTTTATTTATTGGTAATATTTAAAAGTATTCAAATAGATTAATTATATAATAGTGTCTGTTATAACCTTTAAGAAATAAAATTTATAAAATATTAAAAATTATAACATTTATAAAGTTTTATTATTTCGTTATAAATTCAGGTGAAATATCTATACTACCAGGTGAACATCAATTATATTTACCTTTAATTTCAACTTTCTTAACCGCATAAATAATATTATTAGGTTTTTGTCTGACCATAGATACCGTCCCAAAACCGCCCGAACCAATAGTTTTCAATTCAATAAATACAATGCCATTGTTTTTCACATCTAAGATATTTTAAATCATAATTTAGTTTTGCATTTAATAATAAAAATGTAACTTCATAAACATTTATAATTACAATCATGTAAGTTGTTATCTAGATTATAATCAACATTATCCATAATATGTTCACATAAATTAATTGTTCCGTATGTTAATTGCCATTCATTTGCATAAAAGTCAATAAAATTATTATATTTAGTTTCATTGATTTGATTTGATTTCCATAATTCAGAAATACAATTATTATTTAAAACACTTTTGTAGTCAAAGTTATTTTGTGAATTGATTTGTGATAATTCATCAAATTTTTGTTCACATGAAACTAAAATGGGATTTTGTTCAGCATTTTCTAGTTCATCGCCACATTTACCGCAATAATATAGAAACCCATCGTTTGTTAAAAAATATGTTTTCAGATAAGTCGAGCAAATAGTTTTAATATCCTTTAATTCAATTATTAATTTTGGATAAAATATATTATCTACCATATTATGTCCAAGCTCATAATTACCTACAAAGCCCCAACTATAAACATGCCCTTCCACTGTAATAGCAAATGAACACAAGCCATAACAATAAACAGTATCTATTTTAATATGATTTGGAAAGTCTACTTTAATTGGTGCTGGTACAACATTATCTTTGCCACTAATCTGCCCAAAATGGTTATCACCCCATCCGTACACATCACCATCGCTTGTGATGACTAATGTATGGGCAAACCCACATGATATGTGCTTGATGTTTTTGTTAAATGTATTAAAGAATGCAATAATCTGTGGCTTTTGAAACACATGATTGCGGGGATCATATGCGCGAGTATTATCCTGACCCCATTGCAATATTAAGTCATTACAAGTTTGACCCACCATAAATGCTGTCCCTATTGTAAAGCTCTTAATATTCTGTTCACATAATTCAGGTATAATTCGTGGCGATTCTACGGACATATTGTGTCCCAACCCAAGTGCACCACTTTTGTTAGACCCAAACCCATACACAAAATCGTCGTGAGTTACAAATATGACATTCAATTGCATGTAATTATAGACTCCCGTGTAGTCATCGAAAACATGAATCAATTTTATCATTTCTTTAATAACTTTTGGGATTTTTTCACAAATTGTAAACTTATTTATAAACGAGGACATTTTATATTAAATTTATATTTCGAAAACATTCAAGTAAATAATACAATTATGAATAGTTTGTAGCACAAAAAATTCAATTCTTGATTTGAAAATAAATTAAAATTTATCTGACTTTCGCTCATAGTACTGTACTACATAGTTTGTATAAATACTTTATAATGCCAATTTATAGATATATCAAATGGTATATTATTTGAACTATAGTTGAAGATTGGTTGGATATTATCTAATCAATTGTTTCATTTATTATACTTATAGTGGTAGAATTATATGTTTAGTACCGTATAATAAAAATATAGCTTTCTAAGGATTAATTTTTAATCAAATATTTATATATGGAATGATTGAACTTTATTATTTTTAATAATACATATTAAATATTAATTTTTAAAATAATTAAACAATTTTATTTAAATACATTTACAACGTTGTGACAATTATTTCATCATTTCAAGGATAGCACACAATTCAATCAATTTTAATAAAACAGTTTATTTATCTGTTTTTATATTTTAATATAACTATACATTTATTATGAGATTAAAAAATAATTATGTGATTTAATTTACAAGTTAGTCATTATGAAACTAAAAATATTAAATAATTACGGTAGTACTGTATAATAGCATACAAATTGATTTTTATTATTAACATAAATTCTAAGATTATAATAAAATACTTACTGTATAATTAAATAAATTATTTGACATTTAATTTAGCATTCAAAAATTCATA